TTTTATTTCCCTATTTGTTTTCTGTCTTGTTGATCTGTCCCTTGGTGAGAGTAGAGTGTTGAAGTCTCCCACTATTAGGGTTTTAGGATCAATGTGTGATTTAAGCTTTAATATTGTTTCATTTACGAATGTAGGTGCTCTTGTATTTGGGGCATAGATATTCAAAATTGTGATGTCCTCTTGGTGGATTTTTCCTTTGATGAGAGAATATAGTGGCCGTCCTTATCTTTTTTGATTAACTTGGGTTGAAAGTGTATTTTATTAGATATTAGGATGGCTACTCCCGCTTGTTTTCTGGAACCATTTGCTTGAAAGACAGTTTTCCAGCCCTTTACTCTGAGGTAGTGTTTATCTTTGTTGCATAGGTGTGTTTCTTGGATGCAAGAGAATGATGGATCCTGTTTCCGCAACCATTCTGTTAGTCTGTGTCTTTTAATTGGGGAGTTGAGTCCGTTGATGTTGATAGAAACTAGTGACCAACAATTGTTACTTACTTTAGATGTAGTGTTGGTGGTGTCATTGAGTTACATTGCTTGTCTTCTTTTGGTTTTTTTGTTGTGTAGTTATCTATTTCCTCTGTTTCCTTCGATGTAGTTGTTTTCTTTGGTTTGGAGTTTCCCTTCTAGTAACTTCTGTAGAGCTGGGTTACTATGTAGATATTGTTTAAATTTGGTTTTGTCTTGGAATATCTTTAATTCTCCGTCTATGTTGATTGAAAGTTTTGCTGGGTATAGTAGTCTGGGTTGGAACCTGTGGTCCCTTAAAGACTATATGATTTCTGTCCAGACCCTTCTGGCTTTCATAGTTTCTGTTGAGAAATCTGGTGTGATTCTGATAGGTCTACCTTCATATGTTACTTGGCCTTTTTCCCTTGCTGCTTTTAGAATTTTTTCTTTGTTTTGTAGGTTCAGTGTTTTGACTATGATGTGACGTGAAGAATTTCTTTTCTGGTCTAGTCTACTTGGTGTTCTGTAGGCCTCTTGTATGTTTATGGCCATTTCCTTCTTTAAGTTGGGAAAGTTTTCTTCTATAATTTTCTTGAAGATATTTTCCGGACCTTTGAGCCTGATGTCTTCTTTTTCTTCTACTCCTATTATTCTTAGGTTTTGTCTTTTCATGGTGTCCTTGATTTCTTGGATGTTTTGTGTTTGGAACTTTTCCGATTTTATTTTTTCTTTGAGAGAAGTGTCAATTTCCACAAGTGTATCTTCGGCTCCTGAGATTCTTTCTTCCATCTCTTGTATTCTGTTGGTGATGCTTACCTTTGTAGTGCCTGATCTTTTCTCTATGTTCTCCAGCTCCTGGTTTTCCTCTATTTGTGTTTTCTTTATTGATTCTAATACTGATTTCATGTCTTGCACCATTTCCTTCATCTGTTTGAATGTAGACTCCTGCTTTTCAATGATAGCTTCTATTTTTTTGTCCATTTCCTCTCTATGTGTCACTAATTGTGCCTCTACTTCTTTGGGCATAATTGCCTGTATTTCTATGAAAGCTTTGTTTATTTCTTCTTTATTTGCCTTCATTTGTGTGGACATTTCTTTGAGAGCTTTGTGCATTTCTTCTCTGTTTCCTCAATTTTCATGGTCATTTCTCTGAGAGCATGATTTGTTTCCTCTTGGTTAGTCTCAATTTCTTTGGTTATTTCTCTGAGGGCTTTGTTCATTTCATCTTTATGGGCCTCTAATAGCTGGAGAAACATAGTTTTGAGGTCGTTTTCTTGTATATCTAGTGAATTGAAATGTCCATTGTTTTGTGGGGTTGCTGGTGAGGTCATTGTGTCCTGATTTTTGTTGGGAGTGTTCTTACGTCTGCCTCTAGCCATCTGGTTATTTATAATCCTCACTGGTTGTTCCTCGAGATTGTAGTTTGGGCTATGATCCTCTCTTTCTGTTTTCTGGACTGTTTTTTCAGGAAGATGAGAGAGGTTCACTGGTTTGGGAGTGTGCACTGTGTTTTCAGTTTTGCCTAAGTAAAGAATGTGACGCTGGCGATATTCGCGTGCGCTTTTAGGGGGCACAGTGTGCATGCGAGGATTCTCTGACTATTGCAGTGGCCTGCAAGCCACTATTATGCAGTTCTGACTGAGATCCAGGGATTGTTTGCCTGGATTACCCTGGTGAACCAGCAAGGCAGAGGCTTCAATGTTGGGGTCGCTATCCCAAGAATCCCTCTGATGCCCACACTAGGAGTATGGGTGGCAGGGATATCGCGTGGTTGCTTCTGTGGAGAGGCCCTGGGTCTGGGGCAATCTCTCCCTAGAAGGCTCACTCACTCTCTTCCAGGACCAGTTGGAATGCATAGGGGTTCCCCTTGCTCATTACTCTCTGTTTTGGTCCTGCTGCGGAAGTGCACAGGTAGGCTAACAGTCAGCTCTGTGACACTGTGGCCGCAGGACTTGGTGTCCACCTTTCCTGTGTGCTGCCTCTTTGTCCTTTCCCTCTGCCAGGAGGGGTTATGTTGACTGGTCCCTGGGTGGCGCGGGAAAGAGTTAGGGTGAGTATACTCAATCCCAGATCCCGGGCCCAGATCTCTCTGCCAGAAGCAGCCTATAGGTAGAATCTATGTTTGCTGATCCCAAGAGAGTACCGGGTAGGGTTGAGTGTCCTCAGATCCAGAGCTTGGGTTTCTCTGCTAGGGGCCACTGGAGAGAGGGTGCTGTGTCCTTGGCAGGCTGCCTCTCTGTCCTTCCCCTCTGACCTTCTCCTCTGCTAGGGCAAGCTTATGGAGGTGCTCTCAGGGGAGTGCCAGCAGGGGTTGGGGCTTCTCAGTCGGATCCTGCGCCCTGAGCTGGCAGCGTTTCTGTGCAGGGGGGGGGAGCGCCGGTGATAGAACTTGCTGCTAGACCTTATTGCGCTGGACCCAGGAGAATCTCAGGACGTGTAGAATGACCACAGTCCCAGATCCCGAGCTGTAGTTTGTTTGCTAGGAGCGGCCAGCAGCACTGGAGTTCCGGCACTGTGAAGCCGCTGTGTGCCTCTTTATCCTTCTGCTCCGCTGTGGCAGGGTGTTGGCGGCATTTGGGGGAGTGCCCGAAAGGATTGGGTTTTCTCAGCCCCAATCTCGGGTTGGGGTACAGACAATGTGGTCTGTGGCAGATTCTGCTGGACACCTCCTGCCTCCTCCAAAGAGGGAGTAGGGATTTTGAGCTGGGCGCGCAGCTGCTACCCGCCCACAGCTGGAGCTCAGTTGTGATGGCGGCAGGTACCCGCTGTGGTCAGAGAGACCTTCCAGGGAAAGACTAGGTGGCCCGTGACCAGTCTGGCAACTTTCCTTCCCCGTGGGGTTTTTTTTGGGGCTGGTACTCCCAGCCTCAGGCACCCTTGTGCCCACTAATCAGCCTGGGAAATTGATCGTGACAAGCAGGCTGATGGCACCAGCCTGGAGACCCAAAGCCTGCATTGCTGGGTTCTCTTCTGGGTTCTGGCTGGGCAGCCAAGAGTGGACCCGACTGCTTCCCACGCTGTGGGAGCCTCCCCTCACCTGGGAAACATGATCGATCACTGTTGTATTAGGGCCCAGAGTTCAGTCTCCGGGTCGCTGCATGGAGTGTGTTGTCCTGCTTCTCAGACATGGTGTTCTCCCGGTGCCGCCATCTTGGCCCCCCACCCACAATTTCTGTATCCATTCCTTAGTTGAGGGACATCTAGGTTGTTTCCAGATTATGGCTATTATAAATAAAGCTGCTATGAACACAGGTCAGCAAATGTAAGGTAGAGACAAGTGCAGCCCTGGATTCCACTGGCCACCTAGTTTGTCAGAATGCTGCAGCTTAAGGTGAGTGAATCAGCTTACTTCAAAAGAGATCAAAAGTAAATAAGGAATGCTTGAGCACACATCTGAGCACAAACCAGCAGTTATGTATACACATTTATACAAAGTAGAAAACATTATAAATGAAATTTTTCACATTTTAGAAAAATGAGCAAGAATAATGGCTTTTGGCAGTACTTCAAATTTCCACATGTTTCAATCAAAAGAAGCAGAAAGAAATGCCAGGACAATAACATGTTTGTTTAAACTTGAAGCCTTAAAGGGAAAGAGTGGGAAGAACAATATCTGAGATCCAAATGTTATTATTCCCATGCAGTCCTGAGACACTTGGTCTCCTCATTCAATACCCATTGTACTAAAGCTACTGAACTTTTATGATAGGAATATCTGTCTGTACTTCATCCTGTATGTTCATAACACTATTCTTTATTATTAGACACCTAAAACAGTGGATACCAATGCATTGAAACTCTTTCAGAATATCACATAGCAAATCTCCCAGAGAAGCTCTGATGATCAGGAGCTCCAGCTGAGAGCCTTTTGTAAAATAGCAATTATGGAAAAATTCCTGTTGCCTGAGTTAGTCCAGGATTTAGGAGCTGTCCTAGGAACAGTTTCACAAGTCTCAATGTTGGCCATGTAGATGGATAACAGGTCTCACCTGACCAGAAGCATTTGAAATTGCAGAGCACAGAAGTGGATCTATAACAAACCTTTGCTTTTTACCTTTTCTAGCAGCCTTTGTGGAGTCACACTGCACTTTTGGGGAAGACTATAACTATTACCATGGAATATATGAGTAGTATTAAACTCTAAAGATACAAAGAGACTTTCTTTAATTTTCTGGCCTCCCAAATGTTGGAAGGAAAGTGCTGCAGTTATATGGCTAAACAATGTCTCCTCAACCAAGAAAAGCCGTGGTCTGGCAAAGACATGATCTGACTATCAAATACCATGTGGTAAATGCTTGAGTTATTTTTAGATCTGTCTTGTAGGCCACCTCATAGAACTTCATTAGCTATTTCACTGATGTAGAGTCAGATACACAAAGAGTAAAAGGAAGTATACTTGTGGTGCCCAGTGCAGCTGCTAGAGTAAGATGTAAATACTAGAAGCAGCCAAGGAGAAACCCTGTTGACAGACAGGAGCAGTAATGTCAACAGACATGTTGACAGCATGTCAGCCCAAGAGCAGAATAGTCAAACCTCTAGAGAAACACAACATACCAATTGAGTTGCTGCTGCCGCCAACGTAGCCCCAGAACTGTCTCCAGAAATACAAATGCAAGCAGGATCTACTCCATACTTGTCAAGGATTTTGTCCTGGAGAATGAACTTGACCACAAGAACAGAGTCTTCAAGGGCAGCTGGGAATGGATACTGAGGAGCAAGCCTGTAGCTTTACACAAAAACACAGACAACAACAACAATAAGAAAAACCACAGATTTCTTTCAACTTCACCAACAGATATATTAATAACATTGGTCTCTGTTTTGAACCTTTCATTAGACTTAGCACTGGATCTGTGCTACAATGAGTGAGAGAGGATGAGACCTCACCCTCATTGTATCTGAAGAATTTACCAGGCCCTCTGTGAAGTTGCTGACTCAAAAGTAATCCATAAGTATTGATAGAATTTCCCAGTAAAATGTAAAATAAGAGAATGTGGTCTCCAATTATATATAGGTACATTCATTTAGGAATTGATTTCGGTCAGAATACTATAAAAATATAGAATTTCATATCACAAACGAGAGAATTTGAATCAATGTTAAAATAATATTATTTAATATTTAATAGTAATACTTAAATATTTTTACATAATTAAGACATCCTAATATTATTTTACTGTACTAATGGGCCTTCCTAAAACACTGCAAATTGATTATTAATAGAGTATAGTATTGGATGATTTATTCTGTATGTGTGGGTGTTTGTATGTCTTATAGGAGCATGCCTCAATTGGACTGTCTTATTATTGATCTGTATCATTTTAAACTATTATAATTCTTTAGTTATTTATAAACCAATATACACAATGTTATTCATATAGTCCTTTTGTAATTTTTTATTTTATTTTTATTAATTACAGTTTATTTACTTTGTATCCCAGCTGTAGCCCCTTAGTCATCCTCCCCAAATCCCACCCTCCTTCCCTCTTCTTTTCCTTTGCCCCTCCCCCAGTCCAATGATAGGGAGGTCCTCCTCCCTTTACACATGACCCTAGTCTCCCAGATCTCATCAGGGCTGGCATCTTTGTCTTACTCCGTGGACTGGTAAGGCTGCTCCCTGCTCAGGTGAAGGCAATCAAAGAGCCATTCCATGTGTTCATGTCAGAGACAGTCCCTGTTCCTATTATTGAGGAACCCTCTTGGACACTGAGCTGCCATGCGCTACTTCTGTGCAGGGGTTTTAAGTTATCTCTACGTATGTTCATTGTTTGAAGCATAAGCCTCAAAAAAGACCCCTGTGCCCATATTTTTTGTTTTTGTTGTTATTTTGCTCTCCTTGTGGAGCTCCTGTTCCTTCCATATATATCATCCCCTCTTTCATAAGATTCCCTGCACTCTGAAAAAAGTTTGGCTATGAATCTCAGCATATGTTTTGAGAGCCAGCTGGGTAGAGTCTTACAGAGGACCTCTGTAATAGGCCTTTTACCTGTTCCCTGTTTTTACCCTCTTCTGATGTCCATCTCATTTGCCTTTCTGAATGAAGATTGAGCATCTTACCAGGATCTTACTTGATTAGCTTCCTGAGGTGTACAGACTTGAGTATGATTATCCTATATTATATGTTTAATATACACTTATAAGTGAGTATACACCATGTGTGTCTTTCTGTTTCTGGGATACCTCATTCAGGATGATAATTTCTAGATTCCTTGTGGGTGTTTATATTTCAAATACTGTCCAAAAGTTTAAAATTAAAAAATATAAATTACATATTTTAAATATATATATATAATTTAAAAATATGAACACATGCCAAGGTAAATAATGACAAGTACCTAAAGAAATATACAATTATTAAAGTAAATGTAAGATAACACACCATTTCAAAATCTTCTATAAAATAATAATGTGGCAAATATAGTGACATTACAACAGGAAAGGCAGACCATCCTTAAGATTGTAAGTCAGATATTTCTGAAAATATATGTAATTATTCTAGTTGCTTCAAGGATTGATTACAAGGACAGCACTGACCCTTCCAGTATATTTACTTGATTCTATTACACTTGCAGTGAAGAGTTTCCTTTCAGTGTATTCAGGTCAGTCCACAATTCTGTAAATCCACTCTGCACTATGGAGTTGACCGGAAACATTCACCCTCATGATGAAGGTTTCATAAATATAGAACACATCCAGTAAAGGTTAATGTAACATGTATCTTCCCATCCTTGGTATATGATGGAAATTTGGGTCAAAGTCATGATATATGAAGAAGTATTATTGAGGAACACTTGAAAGTTCCAACATTGTTCTTCTAACATTAGTAAGTCTGTGAGTAAATCTAAACTACAGCGTTTTTATTAGTAGCTCAAGTTAAACACATCCTAAGACTGTAGTGGCTGCACTTTCTAGGTGAGAAAAAAATTAAATTTAAGCTCAGAACAGGGATCCAGCCATGACTGAGGCTCAGGTGACTTGCTTTGTAAATCAAGCCTAGTCTGGGAGGGCTATGACCATAGCATGAGAATTGTCATTCTCTTACTCTATTCCCACAACAACAGCATCAAGTTTGTTTGCTGTCCATCGGTTCAGATCATCATAGGGCTGCATCTCTGAAATGAAATAGACAAAAACAAAAGTGTGCTTGGTGGATTATCAAGTTATGGAAACAAAGCTAAGTCTAAGAACAGTGATAGAAATATAAAAGGGAAACAGCATTTCCATACTAACGCCATAAATCCAGCACACACACACAACTGTACACAACACAGAGACACACACAAATACACGCACATACGTGCACGCAAAAACACACATATACACTCACAGGAACACACTCACAAAAACACACCTCCACATGAGCATACATACATACTTACACATACTACATACTCACATACACACACACACACACACCTCCACACACACATACCTCCTCACACATATACACTCACTCCCACATGCAAAAGCACATGTCCACACACAGATGCACACATCTACAGGTACACACACATTCACACACACACACACACCTCTACACATATACATATGTACACATTTATAAACACATGCACACAAACGCCCACACATGCACACATACATATAAGCACACACACATACAAACACACAAGCACTCATGTGTCCAAGCATATAAACACAAATAAGTTTTACCTATAAAAATATATTTAAATTTTTGAATTAAATGCATACCAAGCTCAAGTGGACAACAAGAAAAATCATAATTTCCAGTTTAGATTAATGCTAGGTATAGAATACAAGATTATTTCAATATTTGAAAAAAATTTCATTCCATATACACAAACTTAATAATGGAAATATCATTATCTAGGTAGGTAAAACGAGAAGGTACTCAGTATTTCTGTAACTTGTAAATTTCATGAAAAAATTAGGAAGAGATGAGACTGGAATGTTATCACAAGGCAATAGTGGCTGCAAAGAACAAAGCAATGGTCACCTGGTTAAAAGATGAATGTACTTTCTAAACTGTCTGGCACGATGCAGTGATACTCTTCATTAGAAGTCTTAAATAGAGCAATAGGAGAAGAGGAAGAATTAAAAGAAGAAAGAATAAAAAGAAATAACTCTGAGTGAGGTAGCTCGGTGGGGAATGCACTCAATCGCATAAGAGCAGGAATTCAAATACCCAGTAGACATGTAAATGTATGAAGGGCATGAGAAATAAATCATAACACCTGTACTCAACAGATAAGAAAAGCCGGCCAGCTAAGACTAGTCAAATAAGGGAATTCTAGGTTCAATGACTTATCCTAAAGAAACAAAGTGAACACTCTAGAAAGTGCTTGTTAAGATTATGCAAGTAAATATCTCACTCTCACAGAAGATACACTGATGTATTTCATGACCTTTGAATCATAAGCCTCACCAATTAACCTCAAGCTCACTGGTGATCTCTCTCTTAAAGTGAGGAGTAGATTCTGCTTAAGGGTTTCATGTACTGGAGGTAAGAAGAGAGGAGTGGGACAGAAGGTGTGAAGTCTGTATGTTTCAGTGGCCCTTAGTGCACTTGGTGACTAAAAAGCAATTCAACTTCACTAATAGGATTACCCAGATATGTCAAATTCAGAAAATATGAGAGTGAATTTAAATATGTTTGAATAATTTGAAATACAAATACATGTGTATACACACATACCCATACACACATGCATACAAACTTACACACACACATGCACATACATACATAAAAGCACACACATATACAGACACACAAGCACTCATGTGTCCAAGAATATAAACACAGATAAGTTTAAAGCATACCAAAGATGCTTACTAAAGTTTTTAAGTTGATTCATAAGACTAAGTAGTAGTGTACTTGTTTGTCATTTGCTTTGTAGGTGTCCTCATTCTATGATAGAGATACACATCTCAATTGAGCAATCTCACTTTTCTCTCCATCACCTTCATATTCATTAGAATTAGTATATTCACATGATTATATTAATAAACGAAAATTCAAGACTTCTGGTGAGAGGAAACCATACCCCTGACTACCAAAGACCACAATTACCTCAGATGTCCATAGGCCTGAGGTGAGCTGTAGCAATTCCGGAGCAGCACTGGCCATTCAGTGACCATACCCAAAAAGCTGAGGAGGTCACTTTTAGGAAAAACCATCTCTCTACCAAGGTGATTCTCCTCACCCCTGGTTTCCAGCAGGTACCAGAAAATAACAGCCAAACCTGAGACAGCCAGATGGGTAGAGGCCAGCATAAAAGTACAACCAACAAAAGCCAAGGCAATATGGAATCTCCAGAACCCAGTTATCCAGGGACAAGTAGCCTTGGACACCCTATCATAAGTGAAATTCAAGATGACCTTACTTTTAAGTGTATGGAGAGGATAATGAAGGAAAACATTAAATGCATAAAAAAAAGAGAAAGATAAAGTCAAACAGATTTTGGCCATCGTTAAATAAATACAGGAAGATAAAGTCAAGCAGATTGGGGCCATCTGCAAAGAAATAGAGGAAGATAAAGTCAAAGAAAGAATGATCATCCATAAAAAATTGCGGGAAGATGTAGCCAAACAGTTTAAGTCCTTTAGAAAGGAAATAATTAAATCACTGAAAGAAATAAAAGAAACAGAGAAATGTTCAAACAGCTGAAGGAATTGAAGGAAAACCTGGACAACACAGTCAGACAGGTGAAGGAAATAAAAAAAAAATTCAAGATCTGAAGATAGAATGGTAAAAAATTAAAGAGAACACCAAAAAAAGAAATCATGGAGAGGAATAATTTAGGGAAGAAAACAGGAACTACACAGATTAGCATATCCAACAAACTACAGGAGGTGGACAAAAATAATCTCAGGTGTGGAAGATACACAAAAGAGATCGATGTATCCGTCAAAGAAAATGTTAAATCTAAAAAATTCCTGACACAAACCATCCGAGGAATCCAAGACAACATCAACAGACAAAACATAAGAATAACAAGAATAAATGCCCTTACTGAGTGCTTGAGAATCTTTTGGGTATATGCATAGGAGTGGTATGGCTGGATCTTGAGGAAGTGCTATTCCTAGTTGTCTCAGAAAGCACCAGATTGCTTTCCAGAGTGGTTGTACAAGTTTACATTCCCACCAGCAGGGAGGAGGGGTCCCCTTTCTCCACAACCTCTCCAGCATGTGTTGTCTCTTGAGTATTTGATCTAAACCATTCTGATGGATGTAAGGTGAAATCTTAAGGTCGTTTTGATTTGCATTTCCCTAATGCCTAATGAGGTTGAGCATTTCTTTAAGGGTTTCTCTGTCATTCAATATTTCTCTATTGAGAATTCTCTCTTTAGCTTTGTACTCCATTTTTTTAATTGGATTACTTGATTTGTTGCTGTTTAACTTCTTAAGTTCATTATATATACTGGATATTAGTCCTCTATCAGATATAGGTTGGAGGAAGATCCTTTCCCCATCTGTAGGCTGTCCCTTTTGTTCTGACGACAGTGTCCTTTGCTTAACAGAAGCTTTTCAGTTTCATGAAGTCCTATTTATTTATTATTGCTCTTAGAGCCTGTGCTGTTGGTGTTCTGTTCAGGAAGTAGTCTTCTGTGCCAATGAGTTCAAGGCTCTTCCCCACTTTTTCTTCTAAGCGGTTTAGAGTGTCTGGTTTGCTCAACCATGTTTGTAGCAGCCTTATTTGTAGTAGCCAGAAACTGGAAACAGCCCAGATGCCCCTCGGTGGAGGAATGGATGCACAAATTGTGGTATATCTATACAATGGAATATTACTCAGCAATAAAAAACAAGGAAATCATGAAATTTGTAGGTAAATGGTGGGATCTGGAAATGATTATCCTGAGTGAGCTATTCCAGAAGCAGAAAGATGCACATGGTATATACTCACTCATATAGACATATAATATAGGATAAACCTACTAAAATCTCTACACCTAAAGAAACTAAACAAGAGGGAGGAATCTTGATAAAATGCTCAGTTCCTATCCAGAAAGGCAAAGAGGCTGGACATCAGAAGAAGGAAAAAAGCGGGAACAAGTCAGGAGCCTGACACAGAGGGCCTCTGAAAAGCTCTGCCCTGCAGACTATCAATGTAAATGCTGAGACTTATGGGCATCCTTTGGGCAGAGTGCAGGGAATCTTAGGAAAGAAGTGGGAAACAGTAAGATCTGGAGAGGACAGGAACTCCACAAGGAGAGCAATAGACCCAAAAAATCTGAACACAGGGGTCTTTCCTGAGACAGATACTCCAACCAAGGACTATGCAAGGAGATAACCTAAGACCCCTGCACAGATGTAGTCCATGGCAGTTCAGTATCCAAGTGGGTTCCATTGTAATAGGAACAGGGACTGTCTCTGACATGAACTGATTGGCCTGCTCTTTAATTCCCTCCCCCTGAGGGGGAAGTAGCATTACCAGGCCACAGAAGAAGACAAAGCATAGACATATAATATAGGATAATTGTACTAAAATCTATATACCCAAAGAAGCTAAGTAAGAAGGGGGATCTTGGGTAAGATGCTCAATCCTCATTTAGAAAGGCAAATGGGATAAATATTGTAAGAGGGTTTTAAAAAAGGAAAAAGACAGGAGCCTGCCACAGAGGGCCTCTGAAAGACACTACCCAGAAGAGAATTAAAGCAGATGCTATGAATCATAGCAAAACTTTGAGCAGAAACAGGGAATCTAATGAAAGAATGGGGAGATAGAAAACAGGGAGAGGACAGAAAGTCCACAAGGAGAGCAACAGAACAACAACAACAACAACCAAAACAAAACAAACAAACAAACAAAAAACCTGGGCCCAGAGGTCTTTTGAGACTGATAATCAAACCAAGGACCATGCATGGAGATAACCTAGAGCCCCTACACAGAGGTAGCCCACAGCAGCTCAGTCTCCAAATGTGCCTCCTAGTAAGGGGAACAGGGGCTGTATCTGACAAGCACTTAGTTGCTAGCTCTTTGATCACCTCCCCCTGAGGAGAGGAGGCAGCCTTACTAGGACACAGAGGAAGATTGTGCAGACAGTCCTGATGACACCTGATAGGCTAGGTCTAAGCAGATGTCTACATGTAGAAAAATACAAATAGTTTCATTGGTCTCCTAGTGTGCCTCTTGTTCCCTCCAGGTCTTTTTATATCCCCTTCTTCCATAAGACTCCCTATGCACTGTCCAAAGTTTGGCTGTGAGGCTCTACATCTGCTTTGATCCCCTCCTGAGTGGAGTCTCTTGGAGGACATCTGTGGTAGGCTCCAGTCCTGTTTACTCTCTTCTAATGCTTTTGGTGTCTATCCTGTTTTCCCTTGCAAATGAGAATAAGCATCTTCTCTAGGATCCTCCTTCTTGTTTGGCCTCTTTAGCCCCAGGGGCACTATAGAGAGTGATGCATTAACCAAAGACAACTCATAGAAAAGACCTAGACTCCCTGATCAAGTGTAGGCCATAGACAGCTCAGTCTCCCTGTAGGTTCCCTAGAAAAGAGGAAAAGAGACAGTTTTTGGCATGAAGTCTATTGCCTGCTCCTTGACCACTTCTTTCTAGTGCGGCTACTTAGCCAGCCCAGAAAGGAAGAGGATCCAGGCAGTCCAGATGAGACCTGATAGGCTAGTGTCAGACATTAGAGGAGGTGCACTGCGCCTATCAGTGGACTAGGGAAGAGGGATTGGGGAGGAAGAGGAAAGGAGATTGGGACAGTGAGGGGATGAGGGAGGGGGCTACAACTGGAATACAAAGAGAATAAATTATAAATAATAATAATAACTTTACAAAAAGAAAAATACAAATAAAACCATATTCATCACCCTGCACAAAACTCAAGTCCAAGTGGATCAAAAACCTCAACATTAAAACCAGATACACTAAATCTACTAAAAGAGAAAGTGGGGAAGAGCCTTCAACTCATTAGCGCAGGAAAAACTTCCTGAAAAGAACAAAAACAGTTCAAACTCTAAGATCTACCATGAATAATTGGAACATCTTGAAACCAAAAAGCTTCTGTAAGGCAAAAGACAGTCAATAGAACAAAATGGCAGTCTGCAGACTGGCAAACGATCTTCCCCAATCCTACATCTGACAAGGGGCTAATATCCAAAACATACAAAGGACTCAAGAAACTGAAAACTGACAAACAAAATAATCCAATGCTTTGTCCACAACTCTGTCATCAATACACTTCAATTATTTCAATATGAATACATGAATAACATACATATAAAAAATACACTTACTGCAACTTCCCAAGACAAATGCACCACCATGCAAGTAAATGATAGCTGGTCTCAGTATTTCAGACTTCTTTTTTGGCAAGTACAGACGAACAGGAATGTCACTAAAGTTTGTGTCAATCACTGTTACGTTTTCATCTGAAACTGGTTTTGAAAGGTGAACTGATGATAAAGTTAAAAATGTGTCTTCATACTTCATGAGACCCATTTCTTCAAATAATGTGGCCTATGAAAACAAAAGAAAATTTGAAACATTATACATTCTTATTTTTGTATTAATTAATTTATTTTTTTATTAATAACATTATATTCACTTTGTATCCAAACTGTAGTCCACTCCCTGGTCACCTGCCACTCCTACACTTCCTCTCCCTACTCCTCCCATATTCCTTCCCAAGTCCACTGATAGAGGAAGTCCTCCTCCCCTTGCATCTGATGTAGTCTATCACGTCTCATTGGTATTAAATGCATTGTCTTCCTCTGTGGCCTGGAAAGGCTGTTTGCCCTCTCAGGAAGAGGTGATCAAAGAGCCATCCACTGAGATTTTGTCAAAGACAATTTCTTTTCTGATTACTAGGAAACTCAGTTAGACAATGAGTTACTACAGGCTACATCTGTACAGGGGTTCTAATTTATATCCGTGCATGTTCCTTGGTTGGAGTACCAGTCTCAGAAAAGACCTCTGTGCCCAGATTTTTGGTTCTGTTGGTCTCCTTTTGAAGCTACTGTCCCCTCCAGGTCTCTCTATCTCTCTGTTCTTTCATGGGATTCAAAGTTTGCCTATGAGTCTCAGCATCTGCTTTGATACCCTGAAAGGTAGGTACATTTACACAATGGAATACTACTCAGCAATTAAAACAAGAAAATCATGAAATTTGCTGGAAACAAAAATGTAAAAGACTGAATGATAATAAAATATACAAAGTGATAATATTCTAAATTTTATATCCTAACATTTTGGTAGGATAAAATCTCAATGTGGATATCTGATTTAGACATAAACAAAATTGTTTCTGTCAACAATTCATCATGGATATTCCCATCCCTTCATGAAAAAATATTGGTAGTTATTGATTGATGAGGAAGGAGTAGTCTTTTTTTTTTCATAGCTGTTAATGTGTTACATTTTCTGTGGTAAATAATCTTCTTCCAATGTTCAAGAAAGAAACTCTTTCTATCACTGGATTGCACAAAAGAATGAAGAAACGAAGCCCTAATTGCAGAGAAAATGGATTTAGTAGGCACAGAAAGGGAATTCATCAGGTAAATGCATAAAACTGTCAAACAAACAAATAAATTCTTGGAGATATTAGTCTGTTTTTGACCTAGAAACTTCATCTATATTTGCTACCTTTTATAAGTTGGAAGTTGCTATGCATATTACCAAAGGAAAAGAGTAATCACCAATCTTACCCAACTGTAAAACCTAAGATCTACAATCACTAGTGGAAGGCAAGGCGCTCCCATTGTTTCAATAGAGATTTGAACATTATCGGAGAAAACAATGACATTCTTATTGGATTTAAGTCCCATTCCAGGAGACAAAGGTCATACTTGGCACCACTGTTTGGTCAGGAATCTTTGAATAAGTGGGTCATATGCAATAAAAGGAGAAACTACTACGCCACTCTATTAAATGTACACACAGTATTAAACTGACTCCTATTGACTTATTGTTATAGCCATAGATTAAGGCATCTCTCAATCCTCACCAGAGAAGCTTCTGTTTGTAGTAGATTGTGATTAACACACAGATGCAAAATGGACCAAGGTGTGGAATAAGAGACTGCTGAATACCCAATTCTAAATGAAACATCTATACTGCCAAAGCTCAGAGATCACTTCAGAAAAGGAGACTGAGAGGCTACATAGGCCAGAGATATTGAATGAATACAAAGAAACAGTGTCCTCCTGACACAACATGACAGTTGTTCACAGCTGACACTATGAACTCAGTGGTTGTGACAGCAGGAACAAGATCTGTGCAAGTCCAAACAAGAGCAATGCCTGCTGTGTAGAAAGAAGTTGGTCACAAAATCCCATCCCTAGCTGAGGATCTACTGACAATTTATGGCAAGTGGGACAAGGAGAGTCAATTTTATTATATTTTATTATCATTTATTACAACTTATTAAATTTGTATCCAGGCTGTGGCCCCCTCCCTCGTCTCCTCCCAATACCACCCACCCTCCCTCTTCTTTCCATATGCCCCTCCCCTAGAACTCAGTGACAGGCTCTCTGATCACCTTTCCCTGGAGGGTGCAGCTTTGCCAGGCCACAGAGGAAGACAATACAACCAGTCTGTTTTAATTAAGCATGTATCTCTTGGCATATCCAGTGAATGTTCACATGCTGAAGGAATCATATATGGGAAGTGCAGATTGGAATAGATTAATGTGGGTAAAGAAGAAATGCACAAATATTTATAAGGAAACATGGGTGAATGTGTGAGGAGTTGGAGAAGGGGTAAATATGGTCAGAAGTCATTATATACAATTCCCAAATAACTAATTTAAAAGAAAAAGCAGTAAATACAAATAAATAATTAAATAAATAATTCTAAAATATTAGGTATTAAAAAATTAAACAAAAAATAAAAATATTAAAATTTGTTTTTGTCATTGAATATCTTGTTTTCTTCATCTATGAGGACTAAGAGTTTTGCTGGGTATAGTAGCCTGGGCTGACATCTGTGTTCTCTTAGGGTCTGCATGATATCCGTCCAGGCCCTTCTGGATTTCATAGTCTCTGTTGAAAAGTCAGGTGTGATTCTAATGGGTTTGTCATTATATGTTACTTGGCCTTTTTCTCTTTTTCTACAGAGGGCTTCTGAAAGCCAGAAAAACAAAACAGGAAACAAACTAGGAACCTACCACAGAGGGCCTCTGAAAGCAGCTGCCATGCAGACTATCTAAGCAGATGCTGAGCCTGATGGCAAACTGTTGGGCAGAGTGAATGGAATTTTATGTAAGAAGTGAGAAATAGTAAGAGCTGGAGAGGACAGGAACTCCACAAGGAGAGCAACAGAACAAGAAAATTTGAACACAGGGAACTTCCCAGAGACTCATACTCCAACCAAGGACTATTCATAGAGATAAGCTAGAACCCCTGCACAGATGTAGCCCATGGCAGTTCAGTGTCCAAGTGGGTTACATCGTAATGGGAAGAGGGACTGCCTCTGACATAATCTGATTGGCCTGCTCATTGATCACCTCCCCCTGAGGGGGGAGCAGCCTTACCAGGCCACAGTAGAGGACAATGCAGCCACTTTTGATGAGAACTGATAGACTAAGATCAGAAAGAAGGAGAGGAGGACCTCCCCTATCAGTGGACTTGGGGAGTGGCATGCATGCAGAAAGGGAAGGGAGGGTGGGATCGGGAGGGGAGAAGGGAGAGGCTTATGGGGGGATACAAAATGAATAAAGTGTAATTAATAAAAAAAAGAAAAAATTTAAAAAAAATGAAAAAATAAAAATATTAAGTATTCAGTGATAGAAATTATCTGAAGTGACATCCTATGTCTGTTCAAATATTTTCATCTTATCTTGTTGACTGGCCATTCATTTTGGTGTTGAACATTTGTGTGTGTGTGCGTGTGTGCACGCATGCTTGTAAACATGTCAACCATATGTGCTTATGGAAGTCAGGTATAAACTGCAGTGTTGGTCCTCAGCTTTTAACCTTGTTCAAGTCAGCTTCAATCGTTCCTACTGTGTATTCCGATGTTTCTAACCCTGGGGCTTGAGATTCTCCTGTCTTCATTTCCTCTCCCACTGGCAGAGATGCATGCTACTGTATTCTGCTGTCTCTGAATTCTGGAGGTGTGAGAGCACAGATCCTCATGCTTGCTCAACAAGGGTTTCACCCACTATGCTGTCTGCATTGTTTCTAGTTTCATTTAAATGTTTTAAAATGCCATAAGTTACTCTGTAATAATAATATTTCATGTTCCCATTTGCATCTACAAAGCAGTTTCTTTTTCTTAAAATCACTTGAAGGAAAATTTGAAGGAAAAATACTCTAGCTTTTTTGGTAAGTTATCTAAGACATTACTGAATAATTTCAGTTAAATCATAGTATAGTTTTTGATATTAATTGCCAGTGTTTGTTACTTCCAGTTACTTTGATGTTGGTGGTGGTAGAGTATATATGTGCTTTCCTTCTTTTCATTTTGCATATGCAAAGTTACTTCCTGTGTTTTCCTGGGTGTAGTTGGTCTCCTTGGATTAGAGCTTTCCTTCTAGTATCTTCTGTATGGCTGGATTTGCAGATCATTACAGTTTAAATTTGCATTTGTATGGAATATCTGCTTTTCTCCCTGTATGTTGTTTAAACCTATAGTAGTCAGGGCTGGCATCTGTGATCTCTTACTGTCTGTAAGATAATTATCCAGGCCCTTTTGGATTTTAGAGTTTCTGATGAGAAGTCAGGTGTAATTTGAATAGGTTTGCCTTTATGTGTGACTTGGCTTTTTTTTTTCCTTGCAGCTTTTAATATTCTCTCTTTGTTCTGTTTGTTCGCTCTCTTCATTATTATGTAGCAGGATGATTTTCTTCTCTGGTCCAATCTATTCCCTATTCTGTAAGCTTTTTGTATGTTTATAGAGAATCTTTCTTTAGATAGGGGGCGTTTTCTTCTATGAGTTTGTTAAAACTATTTTATTGGTCTTGGAGTGGGAGTCTTCTTCTATTCCTATTATTCAAGAGGCTTGGTCTTTTCATAGTGTCCCAGATTTCCTCAATATTTTATCTGTCAGGAACATTTTGGATGTAACTCATTCTTTGACTGGTGTATAGATTTCTTCAATGGTATCTTCTACACCTGAGATTCTTTCTTGCATCTCTTATATTCATTTGGTGATGCTTGTGTCTTTAGTTCCTATTTTCTTTTCTAGGTTTACCATTTCCAGGATTGCATCAGATAGTGTGTGTGTGTTTGTGTGTATGTGTGTGTGTGTGTGTATGCATGCAACTGATTTATACTAGTTCCAGTTTTAGGTCTTAAACAGTTTTATTCATTTCTTTCTCTTGTTTGATTGTGTTTTCCTATGTTTCCATTAGGGATTTATTTACTTCCTTTACCTGTTTAATTGTATTTTCCTATATTTCTTTGGCAGATTTATTTTCCTCCATTAAGACCTCTAACATTTTATAATGTCAGATTTAAAATCTTTTTCTTACATTTCTGATGTGATAGTATCTCTAGTGCATTAGGTTGTAGGACTGCTTGTTTTCAGTGGTGTCATATGGCCCTGAGTTTTATTTGTTGTGATCTTAAGCTGACCACTACACCTCTGGTTATCTCTGTTGTTAGCTGGCTTTGGGGTCCCTCCATTGGATTCACTTTCTGTGTGCAAGGTAGGCATATTGGAAGCAGGAAGAGAAAGCTCCAAGCTGAAAACTCTGTGCTGGCACTCATAGGCCTCCTCAGAATGGTAGACAATGGGGCTTGAGAGCCAAGCACAGCTTACATCCACTGGGTTTGCTGCATCACAAGCTCTAAGATCAACAAAGAATTAATGGGACTTCATGAAACTGAAATGCTTCTGTAAAGAAAAGGACACTGTAGTCAGAACAAAATAACAGCCTATAGACTGGTAAAGGATCTTTTCCAACCCTATACTGACAAAGGGCTAATATCCAGAATATGTAGAGGCCTCTAGAAGTTAAACAGCAACAAATCAAGTAATCAAATTTAAAAATGAGGTACAGAGCTAAACAGAGAATTCTCTATAGAGGAATGCCAAATAGCAGAGAAACACTTAAAGAAATGTTTAACATCCTTAGTTTTCAGGAAAATGCAAATCAAAATGACACTGAGATTTCACCTTACATCCATCAAAATGGCTAAAATCAAAAACTCAAGTGACAGTATATGCTAGAGAGGATGTGGAGAAGGGGGAACCATTCTCCGTTGCTGGTGGGAATGTAAACTTGTACAAACACATTGGAATGCACTCTGGTGCTTTCTCAGACAATTAGGAATGGTGGTTCCTCAAGATCCAGCTATACCACTCCAAAAGATGCTCAAATACACAACAAGGATGTTTGCTTAACCATGTTCATAACAGCTTTGTTTGTAATAGCAAGAACCTGGAAACAACCCAGATGCCCCTCAACTCAGGAATGGATAGAGAAATTGTGGTACATTTACACAATGGAATCCTACTCAGTAATTAAAAATAAGGAAATCATGAAATTTGCAGGCAAATGGTAGGAATAGAAAAGATCATACTTAATGAGGAACCCCAGAAGCAGAAAGACACACTTGGTATATACACACTTAAGTGGATATTAGACATATAAAATAGGAAAATCTTACTAAAGTCCATACACCTAAAAAGAAGCTAATCAAGAAAAAGGACCTGGGGTAAGATGCTCAATCCTCATTCAGAAAAGCAAAAGGGATTGACTTTGGAAGAAGGAGAAAAGAGGGAATAGGACAGGAGCCTAAAACAGAGGGCCTCTGAAAGACTCTACTCTGCAGTGTGTCAAAGAAGATGCTGAGGCCCATACACAAACTTTGGGCAGAGTACAGGGAATCTTTTGAAAGGGGGAGAGAGAAAGACCTTAAGTGGACAGGAGCTCTACTAGGAGACCAACAGAACCAAGAAATCTGGGCCCAGGAGTCTTTTCTAAGACTGATACTCCAACCAAGGACCATGCATGGAGATAACACAGATGTAGCTGCACAGATGTAGCCCTTGGCAGCTCAGTATCCAAGTGGGTCCACTAGTAATCAGAATAGGGACTATCTGTGACAAGAACTCAGTGGCTGGCTCTTTGATCACCTCCCTCTGAGGGGGGAGCAGCCTTACTAGGCCACAGAAATAATCTCATTTGATACCATAAAATTTTCTTCTTGTACTTTTCATTGGGCTAGGGTCTTCTTAATTGTAAATTTTATCTAAAAATACAATCAGGAAATAACATTTTATGCTCCCGTTCTTTGTACTCATGTTTACAACATTTTATTTATTTACTAAATTTAGTTTCAACTTTTGAAGTTTAACTTTATGTGTATGTGTGTGGTGTGTGTGCAGGCATGTAGGTATCATGTTTCTATGGAAGCCAGAAGATACTTTCAGATGTTGGTTATGAGTTTCCTTATTGTTTCGGTTAGGGTCTGCTCTTCTTTGCCACTACATATGCTAGTCCTTCTAGCCCATGAACTTCCAGGATTCTTTCATCTCATCTGCCCAGGCCACAGCGGGAGCCACAGGGTCATAAATGAATACCACTCTATTTAATTGTATGTGGAAATAGACTTCCAAACTCATGCTTTTTGCATGTACAACAAATGCTTTATTCATTACACTATCTGCCTAGCCTTCAACCCATTTCAGTATCAAAATATAATTACTTAATTACTATATTATTAATAGTCTAAGTTTCTATTTTTAAACTACAAAGATGTAACTTATCTTTTCCATAAAATACTCTTTATTTCTATAGCTGGAGTATCTCTTACTGGTTATTTCTAACCAGTTTTCTAACATGTAACTACTAGTTCAACTAAAGTAACTATATAGATATTTGTTACTAGAATATTATAAAAACATGTATTAATATGAATGTCTCAGGATAGAAGTATAGATAATTCTTCTTTTGATAAGCTTAGTATCTATGAATATCTGTTTGCTGACAACAGTGTTTTAATCCTAAATCAGATGCATTCCCAAGTTAATTTTAGACTTCTTCCGGGATTTTATATGGAATACAGAATCAAAAATAATGACAATTGTTAGAACTAATTTCTAGAAAGTGGATATAATTAATTTTTTAAATAATTATCTAGTAATCTTCTTGAATATCTTTAACAAATATAAATATATTGTTTGTTTTAGTCTCCTTATAACCTGACTGATAGACTCTCAAAACAAAGCAGTGACAAAAATAGTCTATAGACTTATTAGAAATTTTAAAAACCTCAAAGTGTCTTACTTACTTTTTTATTGGTGCGATAAAACACTGCCATCAAGGCAACTTATAAAAGTAAGCACTTGTAATTTCAGGGGATTAGAGTACATGATATTAAAACAAAGATAGTTTGCAAGCTTAGATTGTAATACAAAACCATGAGGCAGAGAGAGAAAGCATTGTGTATCACAAGTCTCTTGAAACCTGAAAACTGGTGCCCACTGACCCAGATCCTCCAAACTCTTCCCAAATGACTGGGAATTCTTTCCAATGACTGGGACTCAAGGATTAAAATATATGATGTAAGCATATAGCAGACACTCTCAACCAAACTACCACACCACGATACTCAGAATACCCACGATACAAACCATAATTATCTGCTCCCCCCGCCCCCAGAAAAGCAAATGAGATTATCTCACTGAGGGAAACAAAATAAAAAATGTTAAATGAGATTGTCTAACTCTGAAGTCAATGCTTTAAAAACAACTACTATAATCATGTTCTATAAGGTAAAGATGGATCATTTGGGAACAAATTAAATAACAGATGTTCTTAAGAAAAGAAGTGTATTAAGAATGATTCAATGAAAAAGTTAAAACAAAACTATGAAATTATCCAAAATACAATATGCATTAATAAACTTTAATTGAAAAAATATGACAAAGAAAGATTCATTGAATTTGAAAATTTATCAAAATAAAATATACAATCTAAAATAAAAACAGTAATAGAAGCTAAAAAAAAATAAATGTTTAAGACTAACAACTTGTCATTTATCTACATGGAGAAAAGTGATGAAAGGATACAGTAGAACTAACAGCTGGAAACTTCCAAGATTTTAAATAGAACCTTCCTATTGTCACAATAGCCATGAACCTTCCAGACAGAAGCACATTTCAGTAAAAGAGAACATGCTGTATCTTGAGTGCTGTCATTATAAAATCTGAATCTTAACAACATGGGACCTAAAGACAGGCAGGAACAGCAGTAGGTGCCGAGATGTGGTCATAAAGCTATGTGGGCCTGAGAGATGACAAGGACAAGACAATATAGCACACACTGTGCTCAAAAAAGAGTTCACAATGTAGCTTTCCAGTGGATTTCACAGATGGGATAGCACAACAAACTAATGCCAAAGCAGAGAGGACTGCCAGCTCTAAATTATTATAGTTACAAAAGGATATGAAAAATAAATGCCACTATCATGACACTTTTCTGATTATTAAAATAAAATTTATATGAATACCATAACACTTGTATAATATTGTAATGAAATTATTATTACCATTGAGTTAATTATTAACACAGTAAATATAGATGAATGTAAGCCAAATTCTGACAGGCAGAAGAATACATTGATTTGAGTATCAGAAATTAGAAACTACTTCAAGAGGAAAAAAAAAGGTACTAAAATAGTGGAAGGTTAAATGTACTCTTAAATTTTATAATATGAATAAATTGTTCACATAAGATTAAGCAAATGTATGCACTTATGTTTTGTGAAAAATATCAACTATATTTAAGCATATGAACAATTACTCAAGCATTCATTAGGAATGTTGGTTCTTTCGTGTTGTCAATATATAATTAACTTTAGAAATAGCATCTTACAAACACTGTGTGTCCTTCAATAGATAATAAAGTCATAAAGTTATATTAATGATTAACTACAAAGTTAACTACATGAACTATAATATTACTTGGTGGATATAGCACTAAAGAAAAGCAAACTCTCTTTCAAAGTACTCACTAAAGGAAATTTCACATATATTGGTCACAAGGTTTTCCAATTTCGAAAGGGAGAAAAAAAATATTACCACAAGTGAAGTCGTTTTCACAACAGCGTCTATCATTCTCACTCTCCAGCGTTCTTCAATGTTTTCTGGTATGGGTGTATAAATATAATAAGCAAAGACGACACAAAAGATTCCAAAGCACAGAATTTTGTATCCCATGATAAATGGTGTCCAAACTTCTCTGTGTGGGTAGTCAAATGGCACATCATATATCAACTGCTAAAAAGTAAGACAAAGGTAGAAGGCAAATTGTTCCAGGTAAGAGGGCAATACAGCAACACTCACTGAAGATGACGTTCCAAGTTCAGGCCACTGTGGTAACAGGTTGTGCAATTTTGTGTCTTTGTGAAACAGAATGTGTCATGATATATCTATTGACACTTTGCATCAAGAACAGAAACATTATGAGAATAGCAAGTTCTTTAATCTCAGAGAAACACATCTTAGTGGGACAGTCAGAATAGAACAAGAAAGATAAAAATCCATTTTCTGGTGCTATTTTACTGAAAATAGTGACAAGCAATGAAAAAAAAATCAGCCTAAAGGCTAAAGCCTATAATACAGACAAATAAAATTAAGGATAAAAATTCATAAGAGACGTGTTTCCAAAATTCATAAATCTGATATATATATATACCCGATGTTTTTGTTTTGATTTTTGTTTTACAAACCTAACAGTGAGCAAACTAGAGAGAAGCAACACTGGAGAGATCTCAAATGTCAGGTCACACAGCACTGAAGGTAAGCACCTCTAAAAGGAAAGTAAGCCAGACATGGTGGGGTACTGCTGAAAGCCCAGCATGAGATGCTCAAGTGGAAGAACCATGAGGTCAAAGTGAACCTACAGGAAGCCAGAGGTACAGTTAAGATCACTCTCCATATTAAAATAATCTATAGAGAGACACAGAGAGAGAGAGAGAGAGAGAGAGAGAGCGAAAGAGATACAGAGAGAGAGAAAGACAGACAAGAAGAATATGGCATTACAGTAAAATTCCTTACAAAGATACCTCAGTTCTTTGACCATGGAAACAGCAGGAGCTCAGATAACATTTAGGACTCTGCCCTACTCACCCACATCTAGCATCAGGTGGTTTTTACTTCCCATCAGTTTCTGACTTCAACTGCAACTGGGAAAAAAAACAAAAGGGTGTGTCAGGGAGATTAAACATTTTAAGTCCAGGTGCAAATTGCAGAGTTCTGATTTTCTACTGTGATTGGCAGAGGGTATCAAGAGTTCTGATCACTTGTAGAAATTTTCAGGCTGTTTTGTTGATGTTGATTTGCTAGCCACAGTGAAGCAGGCATCTGGCTTTCAGCAGACAGACAGTTCCTATGATTGCAAGGTGAAAGGGAGTTGGAGAGCCAGACTAAGCCTGTTACCTCACTGAACCTTCTCTTAGGATGTGATCTTCAGATACATTTTCTGATTGCAGTTGTTATCTGTGAAACCCTGGAGGAAATCCATGATCTCCTGACTCTTACAGCATTAATGACTCTAACCCTAGTTTCTCATGGAAAACAATGACATGTTTGGCTGTCAATTTGCAATGAACCCTGGTACTATTGGACCAGAGCTACAGCAGCTTCTGTACATTGAAGATAATGAAAATTGTTCTAGGAAATCATTTTCATGGGCCAAGAAACCCCTTAGGATGTTTTTCTTGCTGGAGTCTCACTCTTGAGCACCTTTTCAGTTGCTTTTCTGCAAAGCAGAAAGCTTCTCTTTCATGGTTCTAATCTCTTGAACAATTACACACCCCTTTCAGTACATAATTGACTGCACTTTGAAGTGTCCTGATGCCTTTTTCTGCTCCAAGCTGCACAATACATTTCCTCCTGTCCTAATTGCTCATGTAATTTAGATCAATCCTCTTTCATGGTTATTTGTGAGTATTGGGTGGAAGATTTGTCTTAGTAAAGCAGAGTGTTCCACAATCTCTTATTCCAGGCACACTGATCAGTTAGGAGTCTCTTATTATTTACCATTTACTGCAAATGAGATTTAACTGATGGTGGCTAAAAGATACACTGATCTATGTCCACAAAAATAAGGACATGGATGGTGCTTTTTTTAGTATGTTAACTTAGCAGGATAACATATCAGATTCTCTTCTGGGCCTATGACCTATCCAAACGTATTTTGTTATTTTATTTTATTTTGTTTATTTTTTATTTTTTATTCTTTTTCAGTTTCTTTATTTAACATCCAAAGGGTGTTTCCTCCCTCTTCACCTCCCATTCAATCTCTTCCTCTAGTTCCCCATTCCTTTTTCCTTTCACTCCCCGAAAAAGGGGATTTCTCTCCCCAATATCAACCCTCCCCAGCACATCAAGTGACATCAGGACTGAACATATCATCTCCTGAGGCCAGCCAAGGGGAAGTGATCCAAAAGCAGGCAACAGAGTCCATGTTAGAAAGAGATCCTCCTAACACTAGCTAGGCTCCCCCTACGAAGACAAAGTCTCCCTTTGGCCACATATGTGCAGGGAGCCAAGTTCAAATCATGCATGTTCCTTTGTTGATGTCTCAGTCTCTGTAATCCCCAACGACACTGGGTTAGTTACCTCTTGTTCTTCTTGTGAGGCTCATGTCCACACCTGGCCCTTCCATCTTTCCCCCTACACTTGCACAGTACACCCAGAGCTTTACTGCAAGTCTCAGCATTTGTCTCCATCTGCTGCTGTCTGGAGCCTCCCAGATAACAGTCAAGTCAGGCTTCTGTCCTCAAGCATACAGAGCATCATTAATAGTGTCTGGCGTTGGCTCTGTAGTGTAGGGTTGGTCTCAGGTTGGGCCAATTATTGGTTGGATATTTCCTCAATCTTTGTTCCCTCCTTATCAATGCAATTCTTGTAGGCAGGGTATTTTGTTTCTTGTTTGTTTGATTCTTTGTTTGTTTGTTTTTCACAATTTATAGTAGGAGGCATGAATTCTGTTTTGAGGATCAGGCTTAAAGTAAATGTAAATTTGGTGGGCAGTTACCCAGAACATTCAAGCCACTATTACACAAATCTTCCCTGGCCAATCTTTGTTGTACCACGCAGGATCCAAAATTTGATGACACAATTGTTGAGTTTTCTGCCTTGTTAGGATTCATATATCCTCCCAGCAATATGGCAGTTAACCAGTAAGGATTAATCTACCAGGTCAGTAACAACTAGTTTTCTCTCTATCCTATGTCTCCAGTATGTGGTGTCTTCAGACACAGGATCTTACCTTCAAGTTAAAGAGCTATGGCGACCGTCTGCAATGTTTGGAGAGTGCAGGAGACTCTCCAAACATTGGAGGCCAACACCTCCAGAAAAGGTAACACATTTCCAGAACTAATTATTGCAAAACTGGTTTTGTCTGGAGAAAGCACTGACCCTCTGGTGTAGGTTAACAACATTTATATATACATGTGTGTATATTTCAGGAAGTTATTTTCCAATAGCAGATTTCTTTTCTTTAAGATCATCTTTTTCTTTTAAGATTTATTTATTATGTACACAGTGCTCTGCCTCCATGGACATGTGCACAGCAGAAGACAGCACCAGACCTCATCACAGATGGTCGAGAGACACCATGTGGTTGTTGGGAATTGAACTCAGGACCTTGGGAAGAACAGCCAGTCCTCTCATCCTCTGAGCCCTCTCTCCAACCTCTAGCAGCATGATATAGCTATTTCAAGGATCTTTAGTATTTATGATCATTTAATCTACCATTTTTCTATTCTTATTTCCCATCCTCCACCACTTTTAATTTATCTTGTTCCAATGTATCCAATTCAATCTTATACCAACTATCTTCTAACACCCATCCCTTGAAATCCCCTGTGTGACATTACTAGTTCCATGACTTTGTAAGGTACTCTAACTTAAACATACATATCTAACGATCAAAGTTATCCTTCATACTTGAGGGAAAATGTAAAATATTTGTTTCTTATATCTAGATTATAATAGTCAAAATGATTATATCAGGTCCATACATTTTATAGTATCATTTTTAAAAGTCGTGTGAATAATAGTCCAATGATAATATGCAGCACATTTTCATTTTCCATTCATCATTTGGGCATCTAGACTGTTTTTACTTTGGTGCCATTGTTAATAAAGTAGTAATGAACATAGGTGAGCAGGTATCTGTGTAGTAAGAGCCTGGCATAAGTATAAAAATATTTATACAGACAAAGTGACATTGATTGATATTGTTGGGGCTATGTCTGTGTCTATTACAACCCGGCCCAACAAGTCCATACTGCACATCATGTTAATAATTTATCCAGAGATGTTTCTTGGTATTGATTACTCTGGAAAAGATAGAGTCAGACAGAGTCAATGCTTTTTTAGGAACCTATTTAATATATGGGAACTCAAATACAAAATATTAAGAACAGGATACCAGTTTATGTCATGCTCATTATAAATAACTCAATATAACTCCCCTGCCTTACAGTGGCTCTGAGGTTACATAGGAACAAATTCAGGTTCATGCATGAGGAATTTGGAATAATTCTGACTTGGCCATGGAAATGCACAAGCTTCATACTCAGATCAATGCCAATTCACGTGCCCACTTAAAAACCTCCTCAGTACAGGAGCCAAAAACTACTCTTTTTTTAATTTTATTTTTTTAATATTAGTTACAGTTTGTTAACTTTGTATCCCTGCTGTATCCCACTTCCTCTTTCCCTCCCAATACCACCCTTCCATCCTCATCTCCTCTCTGCCCTTTTCCAAGTCCACTGAAAAGGGAGAACCTCCTCCCCTTGCATCTGATACTGGTTTATCAGGTGTCTTCAGGATTGGCTGCAAAGTCCTCCTCTGTGTCCTAGCAAGGCTGCTCCTCCCTGGGGGCGGGGGGGAATGTCAAAGAGTTCGCCATCGAGTTCATGTCAGAGACATTCCCTGTTCCCCTTATTAGGGTACCCACTTGGATACTGAGCTACCAAGGGCTACATCTGAGCAGGGGCTCTAGGTTGCATCCATACGTGGTCCTTGTTTGGAGAAACAGTCTCATGAAAGACACCTGTGCCCAGTTATATTTGGTACTTGTGGAACTCCTGTCCTCTCCAGGTAATATTAACTCCCCCCCCTTTTTTGAATCCCTGCATTCTGTCAGAGGCTTGGTTATGAGTCTTAATCTGCTTTGATACACTGCTAGATAGAGGCTTTCA